TCTAGTATCCGGTGTTTTCTGAATTTTCTACTCAGTATTTAGATCGTGGACGAGCGGCTTTAGATTGGCGTCAATCGGTTGTCCGCCACCCGGTTTATGTGTACTGCAACGAACTCGCTGGCTTTCTCAAGAGCTGCGAGGATTTCCACTACCAAGCAAGCGGTGATATGATCCGTCTGTGCAGCAGACAACAGCTAGCTAGGGCGTTTTACCGCGAATACTTGTCAACAGATCCAATCTCGAAGCACCCTAGGTAAGCCTGCCTTGCTGCAATCCCTCGTTCGAAGCTTGATCAGGAAGCATGAAGTATGCAAGCCTGCGTAGCTACGCTGCCCTGTCTGGAAGAGCAGTCAGTGCTTTAGGGGCTTAGGATGCTTGCGCAACCTCTTCCAAAAGTGTAAAACATTGCGGCGTTCCGTTGCTTTCCTTCAAACAGATTTGAAAAATCCATGCACCTGCAAGCTTGCCAAGAAATCGCCGAAGCTTTAATGCTCTACCTCGCACGCTACTTCAGAGAAGGCCCTCAGCTTGTTTGGGCCATGGANTCGCCGAAGCTTTAATGCTCTACCTCGCACGCTACTTCAGAGAAGGCCCTCAGCTTGTTTGGGCCATGGAAGAGCTATGGTCGTGGGTCAGTCTATCTGCCCAGCTAAGGGCTAAGATTATCCAAAAGGGGAAACGAACAGTTGATAAACATGATTTCGCCCTACGTCAAACAAGTGCCTCCTCCCTCTTCTCGCCACCTTCTATGTGTGTTTACAGGTGGGCAAGGATTGTACTAGGTTATTGTGGCTTAACCTTAAAGGGCTGAAAGCTCTCTCGAATGCTCTTCACGGTGTTTTTTCCCTTGTCCAAAGGGCCAGCTTCTTGGCACCCAGTGAAGCCGAGTCGGTGGCAAAAGCAAACGCGCAGCTGAAGAAGGTGAGCCACTACAGGCCGAGAATTCAGGTTTTGTGAGTGCCCACTGTTCACACACAAGCCTCTACATTGTTTGCTGTGTGCATTAATGCTTTCCAGGCATTGCTTGCAATGATAATGCTGCCAAGCACTGAACCAGAAGAACTCGGTGGATCGAACATCCCACTACCTGTGCAGGAGTATGTTAAGGCTGTAAGTGTCTGCTTCGGTTCGGACTCGATGGTCAAGGATATCCCCTCTATCTTGCCCGCTCCACTACAGCGGGCTGAAGTGGCCGTCATGATTGAACAACTGGAAATAATTTTGCATCACACGTCGCTCCTGCTCCTCGCCAGTGAAGAAGAGAGAAATTCAGTGAATGTCGGTGGTGAGACATTGCATGGCGCAGGCGCAACTCAGCATCCATCACCGCAGCAAAGGAATGCATAGTGCACAAATTGAGTTCTTTCTGTGTGGGCAACTGATGTGTCAGACCTACCACTACTTCCTGAAGAGCTGGCCGAAATGCGAGCTCTTCACGCACAACTTGGCGAAGCCGATGCAAACGTAGTTTTGGCAGACAACGGATCGAAATATGGGGGGCCCTCTGACAGAGAGCAAGCCGAGTCAAGGAGGATAGCAGCGGTGGAGCACGGGCTTAGAATGTTTTTTCGAAGAGCTGCGCGCATTCTTAAGGCCGATGACCCGTCTTTCAAATGCGCCGAAACTCAGCGAAGGTGATCAGCCTGATGTGAGGGCTTCGGATA